TATACACCACCTAACACAGGCCTATATACATCACCTAACACAGGCCTATATACACCACCTAACACAGGCCTATATACATCACCTAACACAGGCCTATATACACCACCTAACACAGGCCTATATACACCACCTAACACAGGCCTATATACATCACCTAACACAGGCCTATATACATCACCTAACACAGGCCTATATACACCACCTAACACAGGCCTATATACACCACCTAACACAGGCCTATATACATCACCTAACACAGGCCTATATACACCACCTAACACAGGCCTATATACATCACCTAACACAGGCCTATATACACCACCTAACACAGGCCTATATACACCACCTAACACAGGCCTATATACATCACCTAACACAGGCCTATATACACCACCTAACACAGGCCTATATACATCACCTAACACAGGCCTATATACATCACCTAACACAGGCCTATATACACCACCTAACACAGGCCTATATACATCACCTAACACAGGCCTATATACATCACCTAACACAGGCCTATATACACCACCTAACACAGGCCTATATACATCACCTAACACAGGCCTATATACACCACCTAACACAGGCCTATATACACCACCTAACACAGGCCTATATACACAAACTAACACAGGCCTATATACACTAACACAGGCCTATATACATCACCTAACACAGGCCTATACAAAACCTGACACAGGCCTATACACAACCTAACACAGGCCTATATACACCACCTAACACAAGCCTATATACACAAACTAACACAGGCCTATATACACAACCTAACACAAGCCTATATACACAAACTAACACAGGCCTATATACACCACCTAACACAAGCCTATATACACAAACTAACACAGGCCTATATACACCACCTAACACAGGCCTATATACACAAACTAACACAGGCCTATATACACCACCTAACACAAGCCTATATACACCACCTAACACAAGCCTATATACACAGCCAAAATCTATGCTCTTATTAACCTATACATTGGTTAATAATTATTGGTTGATAATTGTGTTATTGCAGCGTGCGAGGCGATGTTGGAGGGTGTTGCGCGCTGTACATACACTTCTCGAGACTTATAGTTGATTGTGTTGCAGGTGTGTGGGCGTGGAGTGGCGTGGGTGGTGTTGTGGGCGGGTGTGTGGGGGCGGGGTGGTGCTGGCCTGGTCCACCCGCCTGCTGGAGGTGGCCGCCGTCGCCCTCCCCACCCTCCGCCCGCTCTCCGTCTCCGCCCTCCTCGCCGCCCTCGCCGCCCAAGTCGCCGTCTCAGAGTGCCAGGTGAGGGGCCACCTGACGCTGGAGGGCCACCTGCTGGTGCTGGTCACGCCCACGGCCGCCCACACGCCCCAGCCGCCGCCCCTGGTGGCGCGGGCGTGTGTGGTGGAGGCAGAGAGACTGGTGGGCATGGTGGGGGCCAGGTCCCCCCGCCTTATGTCCGCCCTCCCTGCTGCCGCCCTCACCCTCGCCGCCCCCGCCCACACCAGCGCCGCCCACACTGCCGCCCACTCCGCCCTCACCCTCGTCGCCCTGGTGGTGGTGTCTGTCAGTCCCTCCAGAAGGTTCTGGTAGCAGTGCCACGCCTCTGTGGCAGCAGTGACCTCTCTATGTCCGACTGCCGTCCCCTTGTAGCAGTGACTTAACTGGAAGGCAGCAGTGACTTAACTGGAAGGCAGCAGTGACTTAACTGGAAGGCAGCAGTGACTTAACTGGAAGGCAGCAGTGACTTAACTGGAAGGCAGCAGTGACTTAACTGGAAGGCAGCAGTGACTTAACTGGAAGGCAGCAGTGACTTAACTGGAAGGCAGCAGTGACTTAACTGGAAGGCAGCAGTGACTTAACTGGAAGGCAGCAGTGACTTAACCGGAAGGCAGCAGTGACTTCACCGGAAGGCAGCAGTGACTTAACCGGAAGGCAGCAGTGACTTAACTAGAAGGCAGCAGTGACTTAACTGGAAGGCAGCAGTGACTTAACTGGAAGGCAGCTGTGACTTAACTGGAAGGCAGCAGTGACTTAACTGGAAGGCAGCAGTGACTTAACTGGAAGGCAGCAGTGACAACACCTGCAGGTGTTGACGATGATCAACAGCTCACATGAACCTTGAGTGCCTCGTATGAGTGCCTCGTGTGAGTGCCTCGTGTGAGTGCCTCGTGTGAGTGCCGCGGCATTATTGACAGTGCCAGAAACAACAGGTAAACGAACCAGTGACTCGAACAAGTGCCAAAAAGTTCCTATAGTTGACACATTTATTGTCGTTAGCAGTGTTTGTGCTGAGTAAGAGCAGTGTGAGTGCCAGCCCCTGGCACCCTGGCACCATCGTGAAGCAACTTAGTGCTGGGTTCCATGTGTGTCTGAGTGCTGGGTGCCATGTGTGTCTCAGTGCTGGGTGCCATGTGTGTCTCAGTGCTGGGTGCCATGTGTGTCTCAGTGCTGGGTGCCATGTGTGTCTCAGCGCTGGGTGCCATGTGTGTCTGAGCGCTGGGTGCCATGTGTGTCTCAGTGCTGGGTGCCATGTGTGTCTCAGTGCTGGGTGCCATGTGTGTCTCAGTGCTGGGTGCCATGTGTGTCTCAGTGCTGGGTGCCATGTGTGTCTCAGTGCTGGGTGCCATGTGTGTCTCAGTGCTGGGCGCCATGTGTGTCTGAGCGCTGGGTGCCATGTGTGTCTCAGTGCTGGGTGCCATATGTGTCTCAGTGCTGGGTGCCATGTGTGTCTCAGCGCTGGGTACCATGTGTGTCTCAGTGCTGGGTGCCATGTGTGTCTCAGTGCTGGGTGCCATGTGTGTCTGAGTGCTGGGTGCCATGTGTGTCTCAGTGCTGGGTGCCATGTGTGTCTCAGTGCTGGGTGCCATGTGTGTCTCAGCGCTGGGTGCCATGTGTGTCTCAGTGCTGGGTGCCATATGTGTCTCAGTGCTGGGTGCCACGTGTGTCTGAGCGCTGGGTGCCATGTGTGTCTGAGCGCTGGGTGCCATGTGTGTCTCAGTGCTGGGTGCCATATGTGTCTCAGCGCTGGGTGCCATGTGTGTCTCAGTGCTGGGTGCCATATGTGTCTCAGTGCTGGGTGCCATGTGTGTCTCAGTGCTGGGTACCATGTGTGTCTCAGTGCTGGGTGCCATATGTGTCTCAGTGCTGGGTGCCATGTGTGTCTCAGCGCTGGGTACCATGTGTGTCTCAGTGCTGGGTGCCATGTGTGTCTCAGTGCTGGGTGCCATGTGTGTCTCAGCGCTGGGTGCCATGTGTGTCTCAGTGCTGGGTGCCATGTGTGTCTCAGTGCTGGGTGCCATGTGTGTCTCAGCGCTGGGTGCCATGTGTGTCTGAGCGCTGGGTGCCATGTGTGTCTGAGCGCTGGGTGCCATGTGTGTCTGAGCGCTGGGTGCCATGTGTGTCTCAGTGCTGGGTGCCATGTGTGTCTCAGTGCTGGGTGCCATGTGTGTCTCAGCGCTGGGTACCATGTGTGTCTCAGCGCTGGGTGCCATGTGTGTCTGAGCGCTGGGTGCCATGTGTGTCTCAGTGCTGGGTGCCATATGTGTCTCAGCGCTGGGTGCCATGTGTGTCTCAGTGCTGGGTGCCATATGTGTCTCAGTGCTGGGTGCCATGTGTGTCTCAGTGCTGGGTGCCATGTGTGTCTCAGTGCTGGGTGCCATGTGTGTCTCAGCGCTGGGTGCCATGTGTGTCTCAGCGCTGGGTACCATGTGTGTCTCAGTGCTGGGTGCCATGTGTGTCTCAGTGCTGGGTGCCATGTGTGTCTCAGCGCTGGGTGCCATGTGTGTCTCAGTGCTGGGTTCCATGTGTGTCTGAGCGCTGGGTGCCATGTGTGTCTCAGCGCTGGGTGCCATGTGTGTCTCAGCGCTGGGTGCCATGTGTGTCTCAGTGCTGGGTGCCATGTGTGTCTGAGCGCTGGGTGCCATGTGTGTCTCAGTGCTGGGTACCATGTGTGTCTCAGTGCTGGGTACCATGTGTGTCTCAGTGCTGGGTGCCATGTGTGTCTCAGTGCTGGGTTCCATGTGTGTCTCAGTGCTGGGTGCCATGTGTGTCTCAGTGCTGGGTGCCATGTGTGTCTCAGTGCTGGGTGCCATATGTGTCTCAGTGCTGGGTGCCATGTGTGTCTCAGTACTGGGTGCCATGTGTGTCTGAGCGCTGGGTGCCATGTGTGTCTGAGCGCTGGGTACCATGTGTGTCTCAGTGCTGGGTGCCATGTGTGTCTCAGTGCTGGGTGCCATGTGTGTCTCAGTGCTGGGTGCCATGTGTGTCTCAGTGCTGGGTGCCATGTGTGTCTCAGTGCTGGGTGCCATGTGTGTCTCAGTGCTGGGTGCCATATGTGTCTCAGTGCTGGGTGCCATGTGTGTCTCAGTGCTGGGTGCCATGTGTGTCTGAGCGCTGGGTGCCATGTGTGTCTCAGTGCTGGGTACCATGTGTGTCTCAGTGCTGGGTGCCATGTGTGTCTCAGTGCTGGGTGCCATGTGTGTCTCAGTGCTGGGTGCCATGTGTGTCTGAGCGCTGGGTGCCATGTGTGTCTCAGTGCTGGGTGCCATGTGTGTCTCAGTGCTGGGTGCCATGTGTGTCTCAGCGCTGGGTGCCATGTGTGTCTCAGTGCTGGGTGCCATGTGTGTCTCAGTGCTGGGTGCCATGTGTGTCTGAGCGCTGGGTGCCATGTGTGTCTCAGCGCTGGGTGCCATGTGTGTCTGAGCGCTGGGTGCCATGTGTGTCTCAGTGCTGGGTACCATGTGCGTCTCAGTGCTGGGTGCCATGTGTGTCTCAGTGCTGGGTGCCATGTGTGTCTCAGTGCTGGGTGCCATGTGTGTCTCAGTGCTGGGTACCATGTGTGTCTCAGTGCTGGGTGCCATGTGTGTCTCAGTGCTGGGTGCCATGTGTGTCTCAGTGCTGGGTGCCATGTGTGTCTCAGTGCTGGGTGCCATGTGTGTCTCAGCGCTGGGTGCCATGTGTGTCTCAGTGCTGGGTGCCATCTGTGTCTCAGTGCTGGGTGCCATGTGTGTCTCAGTGCTGGGTGCCATGTGTGTCAGTGCTGGGTGCCATGTGTGTCAGTGCTGGGTGCCATGTGTGTCTCAGTGTGTGTCCTGGGTGCCATGTGTGTCTCAGTGCTGGGTGCCATGTGTGTCTCAGTGCTGGGTGCCATGTGTGTCTCAGCGCTGGGTGCCATATGTGTCTCAGTGCTGGGTGCCATGTGTGTCTCAGCGCTGGGTGCCATGTGTGTCTCAGTGCTGGGTGCCATGTGTCTGAGTGGGTGCTCAGCGCTGGGTGCCATATGTGTCTCAGTGCTGGGTGCCATGTGTGTCTGAGCGCTGGGTGCCATGTGTGTCTCAGTGCTGGGTGCCATATGTGTCTCAGCGCTGGGTACCATGTGTGTCTCAGTGCTGGGTACCATGTGTGTCTCAGTGCTGGGTGCCATGTGTGTCTGAGCGCTGGGTGCCATGTGTGTCTGAGCGCTGGGTGCCATGTGTGTCTCAGTGCTGGGTGCCATATGTGTCTCAGTGCTGGGTGCCATGTGTGTCTGAGCGCTGGGTGCCATGTGTGTCTCAATGCTGGGTGCCATATGTGTCTCAGTGCTGGGTGCCATGTGTGTCTGAGCGCTGGGTGCCATGTGTCTCTCAGTGCTGGGTGCCATATGTGTCTCAGTGCTGGGTGCCATATGTGTCTGAGCGCTGGGTGCCATGTGTGTCTCAGTGCTGGGTGCCATATGTGTCTCAGTGCTGGGTGCCATGTGTGTCTGAGCGCTGGGTGCCATGTGTGTCTCAGTGCTGGGTGCCATATGTGTCTCAGTGCTGGGTGCCATGTGTGTCTGGGCGCCATGTGTGTCTCAGTGCTGGGTACCATGTGTGTCTCAGTGCTGGGTGCCATGTGTGTCTCAGTGCTGGGTGCCATGTGTGTCTCAGTGCTGGGTGCCATGTGTGTCTCAGTGCTGGGTGCCATGTGTGTCTCAGCGCTGGGTGCCATGTGTGTCTCAGTGCTGGGTGCCATGTGTGTCTCAGTGCTGGGTGCCATGTGTGTCTCAGTGCTGGGTGCCATGTGTGTCTCAGCGCTGGGTGCCATGTGTGTCTCAGTGCTGGGTGCCATGTGTGTCTCAGTGCTGGGTACCATGTGTGTCTCAGCGCTGGGTACCATGTGTGTCTCAGTGCTGGGTGCCATGTGTGTCTCAGTGCTGGGTGCCATGTGTGTCTCAGTGCTGGGTGCCATGTGTGTCTCAGTGCTGGGTGCCATGTGTGTCTCAGCACTGGGTGCCATGTGTGTCTCAGTGCTGGGTGCCATGTGTGTCTCAGTGCTGGGTGCCATGTGTGTCTCAGTGCTGGGTGCCATGTGTGTCTCAGTGCTGGGTGTGTGTGTCTCAGTGCTGGGTGCCATGTGTGTCTCAGTGCTGGGTGCCATGTGTGTCTCAGTGCTGGGTGCCATGTGTGTCTCAGTGCTGGGTGCCATGTGTGTCTCAGTGCTGGGTGCCATGTGTGTCTCAGCACTGGGTGCCATGTGTGTCTCAGTGCTGGGTGCCTCAGTGCTGGGTGTGTGTCTCAGTGCTGGGTGTCATGTGTGTCTCAGTGCTGGGTGCCATGTGTGTCTCAGCACTGGGTGCCATGTGTGTCTCAGTGCTGGGTGCCATGTGTGTCTCAGTGCTGGGTCCATGTGTGTCTCAGTGCTGGGTGCCATGTGTGTCTCAGCGCTGGGTGCCATGTGTGTCTCAGTGCTGGGTGCCATGTGTGTCTCAGTGCTGGGTGCCATGTGTGTCTCAGTGCTGGGTGCCATGTGTGTCTCAGTGCTGGGTGCCATGTGTGTCTCAGTGCTGGGTGCCATGTGTGTCTCAGTGCTGGGTGCCATGTGTGTCTGAGCGCTGGGTGCCATGTGTGTCTGAGCGCTGGGTGCCATGTGTGTCTCAGTGCTGGGTGCCATATGTGTCTCAGTGCTGGGTGCCATATGTGTCTCAGTGCTGGGTGCCATGTGTGTCTGAGCGCTGGGTGCCATGTGTGTCTCAGTGCTGGGTGCCATATGTGTCTCAGTGCTGGGTGCCATGTGTGTCTGAGCGCTGGGTGCCATGTGTGTCTCAGTGCTGGGTGCCATATGTGTCTCAGTGCTGGGTGCCATGTGTGTCTGAGCGCTGGGTGCCATGTGTGTCTGAGCGCTGGGTGCCATGTGTGTCTCAGTGCTGGGTGCCATATGTGTCTCAGTGCTGGGTGCCATGTGTGTCTGAGCGCTGGGTGCCATGTGTGTCTCAGTGCTGGGTGCCATATGTGTCTCAGTGCTGGGTGCCATGTGTGTCTGAGCGCTGGGTGCCATGTGTGTCTCAGTGCTGGGTGCCATGTGTGTCTCAGTGCTGGGTGCCATATGTGTCTCAGTGCTGGGTGCCATATGTGTCTCAGCGCTGGGTGCCATGTGTGTCTCAGTGCTGGGTGCCATGTGTGTCTCATCGCTGGGTGCCATGTGTGTCTCAGTGCTGGGTGCCATGTGTGTCTGAGCGCTGGGTGCCATGTGTG